CCTTTGTTCCTCCAGGCCCCGCCCCCCGCTCAGCTCTCTCTCCATTGGTCCGATGTCGTTCCAGGGGGCGTGGCCTGTGTACTGGGCGGGGCTTGTGGTGCGCTTGCGCAGTGTCCCCGGCCGCTGCCCGGTGCCGGTTGTCTGTCGGATCCGAGCCGGGCCGAGCCGGGACTAGCAGAGGCGGCGGCGGCCCCGCCCCAGGCTCCATTGTTGAGGCAGCTGCGCGTGTGGTGCGGTGCGGTGCGGTGGAGTGCGGTGAGGGAACTGCGATCGACGGCGCCCGAGGGCCGGAGGTGAGGATCGGGACAGGGATCCGGAGTCCCGCGGGATCCGGGTTCCGGCCGCGTCCGAGGCGCGGTCGGGTTCCAAGAGCTCTCCTGGGGTCCGGGGCTGTGCGGCGTCCAGGGCCCGATCGGGGTCCCTCGGCCCGGGGGCGCCCTGGATGTAATCGAGGTGGGCCGGCGGCTGTGCGGGTCCGGGTCCGGGGGTCTCCGCCCGGCGGTGCCGTCGTCCTGGGCGCGGTAGCTTGGCCGGCTCCGACCCGTGCGCCCCACGTTGACTCCCCGGGCGGCACTCGGGGCCTCGCGCCTACCGCGTCGCGCGCGCACCGGTCCCGTTCCTCCTCCCCGGGTGTGCCAGTGCCCACGGTTTATCGTCGAGGGTGACTGCGTGGACCCACGCGCCCAGCTCTTTCCTGTCCCCTTCAAGGAGCAGTCTGTTCCGTTCATGTGTGTTGCCGAAGCGAACCGCGTGGACACGCGTGGGGTCCCTGTCCCGCTGCGTGGGGACTCTTGTCTGCATTCCCCACGGTCTCACGAGCTCCCCGGGTGTCGTTGCAGTTGACAGCCTAGATCTGCATGTGTGGGCCCTGGTCACCCCACAAATGAGGCCTCTGCCCTGGTGCCGCTGTGGCAGGCCCGTCTGGGTTGGGGTAGTCGCAGTGCACCCAGGTGTGCGAGGCGCAGCTGGCCGGCAGAACTGTCACGGGCTCCTTGATTGATTGTCCACTGTGCCAAGTGGCAGAAGCCTGGAGTGGCTAGCTGCCCTCTGTCGCTGGGCTGGGGACCGCAGCGTACTGCTGCACCCGGCCTGGGCCGGAGGCGGCTGTGATTGACAGCAGTGCGCCTTCTCTGTCCCAGCGCTTCTGGATTTCTTCCGTTAGGTTTGGCAAGGAAAAAAAATCTGGAAAACCAGATTCAACTTTAGCTCTCAGGCCCTGGAGAGTTCAGGAAACTCTCCCAAGAATTTGGCGGGCTGGAAAATGTGTTTGAAGCCCAGTCCACACCCAAGGAAGGAGGCCAAGGCAGCTCCAGTTGGAGGTCAGATCTTTGAAGGCAGCGCTGGGGTGAGGTCCTGTGGGGGGACCCCATCCAAGCCTGAGGGGAGGTGCCCACACTAGGAAGCAGCCCCAAAGAGCGCTCATTTGTGTTTTCATTAGAAGTCTTAAACACACCTATTGTCTTGAAGCCCAAACCCGGCAGGACAGCCTTTCCCGGAGTGGAAGAGCAGCAGCCATAGGAGTGAGGAGCTCTGATATCTAACCTGAGATTTTTCTAAATAAGAGACCCTGTCTGTCAGGGCACAGACAAAGCTGTGGAGAGCCACTGCCTGGCATGGTACTTGCTGTCTTGCGCTCACCATTCAGCTCCTGCTTAGCTGTTCTTACTCTCTGCAAAGTTCTTGTCTCCGAAGCCTTCCCTGGCCAAGGTCCCAGCCCTGGCTTTTGGGGTCTTCAGGAGCGGCCTGGGTTTGGACAGTAAGCGGCTTACTGTCACATTGCTTGGAAAGTACAGTGGGAACCCAAAGCCAGAAGACAGCAGGCACATGAGACCTTGCTCTATATTGGGAGCACAGATCCTTGACTCTCCAAGGGTCTTTAGATTAATTTCTTGCCATTGCTTTCTAGTGTTTGTTGCATTTTGTGAATTAGAATTTGTTGAGTCTAATTTTGGCTCCAGAATAATTGACTTTTGTTTCTGGAAGGCTGCCTCTGCTGATGGCGTCTGAGGGCCTCAGCCATGCACCTTTGATTGTTTCAGACAGGTACAGTGGAGGAAAGTTTATGCTGTCTAAAAAGAAAAATGCCTTTTCTTTCCTCGTCCCTCCTCCCTCTCTGCTCTTCCTCCCCCTTTCCTGTCTCTCTCCCCCTTCCCCTCCTCCCTCCCCACTTCCTTTTTTCTTTCTCTTTGCAGTACTAGGGGTTGAACTCAGGGATATTCTAACACTGACTATATCTCTAGTCATTTGTGTTTTTTATTTTGGAGACCAGCCCTTACTAAGTTCCCCAGGCTGGCCTCAAACTTTTGATCCTCCTGCCTCAGCCTCTGCAGCTGGTGTTACAGTCCTGTGCAGTCACATCAGGATCATTTTGATTTCTTTTTCATAGCCCAGCTTATGGAGTGTACAGCCTGTCAGTGGTACAGACGGGCAACATTTTGGTGCTGTCTTTCATATTCTTTATGTTATTCATTACGGTTTACTTGCAGCGCTTTCACTATCTCAAATTGATGTGTTCTTTTTCCTTAAATTGTTGAGTATATGTATTTTTCAGGACCATTTTGTCCATTTTTTTTTTTTTCTTTTTTTGGTCAGTCTTTTAAGTGTCACACGCAGTCTTCCAAGTGCAGACTCATCTATGTGACAGATTTTATTTTGGGGAATCTGAAATAAGTGTAACTTTGAGACTGCCTTGTGTTTGGCTTTGTCAGATACTGTAGAAAAACACGATTTAAATGATGACTTAGGAAAGTGGTGTCATATGCAAAACAACCTGTGGGGGATCCCATTCTGAGGCCACAGTATCTGCTCCATCCGTGCCTTGGGACTTTTTGCTTGAATTTGTGAGAGCCATGCGCCTTTAGGGCTTCACAGTCTTCTTGCTGTTCGTTGCTCTCTGGGCAGTACAGGGATTACAGATAGGTGGTAGCTATCCGGCCAAGTGCTGGGGCTTCTGGGTTACCATTTTTACTTATTAGGGTATTTTGCCCTTTTGACTGCTTCTTTTCTGCAAGGTGCTCTAGGTCATATGCTCCTTGTTGTTTCTTTTGATGGGGAGCCTTATTCAAGCAGAAGTGTCTTCAAAAACCTGCCTGGATTTTCTTTGTGGTATTCCTAGATTTTAATGTTTTAATTGAAGCTTAGTTAATGCTGGCTCTTCCCAGAGTGCTTTTGCCTGTGGCAGGCTTGGTGTGTTTTTGAGACATGGTCTCCAGGCTGGTCTGGAGATTGCTCACCTCGAACTCGAGGTGATGCTCCTGCCTCAGCCTCACAAGTGCTGGGATTACAGGCGTTACCATCCGTCTTTGTAAGCAAATTGAATGTGCGAGGCTTGCCCTTTCCCTGTGTCTTCAGCTATGTTTGTCCTCGAGAACCTTCCTTTAAGGAAGTCCAGTCTCCTCCTTGACGTCTCAGTTCCTGAGGGACCTGTCTTGAGGTTGCAGAAGGCCAAAGGCAGCCAGAGGTAAAGGTCAGGAAAGCACAAGCCTGTGGGCACGCGAAGCACCCAGTGCGGTGCCTCAACGAACTTCCCCTAGCTGTTCAGAAACACAGCTCGGGGTTCTGCCATGGGCCAGGGCTCGGTGCTGGGACACAGGGGCTCAAGCAGGAAGGGGTGGGGCTCAGCGTAGAGGAAGAAGCAGACCTGGTCAGATCTCAGGGCAGCAGAGAAGGTGCCGGAGAGGTTCTGAGGCTGGGGTCTGGGCTGGTGCACGTTAAATCTCGTGTGTGTTGCTTCCGTAAGCCAGGCAGTAACAGCAGGTTTATGTGTTAAAGGAAAGGCAACGAATTACCGGAAACCTAAATCTGCAGCTGTTCTGAGCGATTCATAATTCCCCAAATCTGCATTTGCCAAAAAAAATCCGGAACCTGTTGTGTGGGTGGAATCTGGCCAGCCCTGCTGCTTGATTCAAGGAAGCCATCAGGCTGTTGCGTGATGCCCGTGTTGGGCCACTGCACTGGGCACTGGTGCTGACAGCACTGCCTTAGTGCCCTCCCGCTGCTGTAAAGAGCCACCACAGATGACTTCAAACCACAGCCCTGTTCTTATGGTTCTGTGCTGGTCTGACTTGGGTCTCCCCGGGCAGAGGTGCAGGGGTTGGCAGAGCTATGCTTCTTCGCCACGAAGGCTCTGGGGCAGGACGGCTGCCAGACCCACGCAGGTCATCAGCCAAATGCAGGTGCTTGTGTAAGTCGGAGCCTCTGTGCCCTTGCGTGCTGCCAGCTGGGGGACACCTATAGCTCCTAGTGGCCTCTCTGTGCAAGTGGCCCATGCGCTCAGCACTGGAAGTGACCCTGCTCAGGCTGTCTAGCTTCTCCTGTGTGGACTGATGTTGACCCAGAGAGAGTGCGCTGGGACCAGCGTACCGAGATGCCACGGACAGTCTCCCTGCTAGGGCCAAGAGCAGGGTCCCTTTTGCCTGTCATTCACATAATCACAAAGTCCAGCAACCAGGGCGTGGATGTCTCTGTGGGCCAGTCGTTCTGCCTACCACAATTACCCAATCCCCTTATTATATCCTACGAGGTTGTTATTGTTACCTTTGGTTGACAGAGACATTAACTAAGGCACTAAAATTTTAAGCAAATTGGCAAGAACATTGAGATCTGCTTTAAATGACGGACTTCTTCCGGCTCAAGTGGGACTGTTGGTCAGTTCTGCAGTGGTGGCGGCAGATCAGTCAGAAACAGCTCAGTTCTGTGTGCTGGAGCATTCAAGTGGCCTGCTCCGATTATAGAAGCTTTGCCAAGAAGTCGTTAGAATTATTCCTGCACTTGGGGAACACCCACGAATGGAGACTGGGACTGGAGGGCCTTTTGTGGGGTGAGAAGTGTGTGATTCTAGGTCCCTTCTGGGGTGGAGATGGCCAAGTCAGCTCACAGCAAGCTAGTTTCTGAGCCTGCGACTCACTCAAGGCCAAAGGGAAACCTGAGAAAGAAGTCTGCTCAGTGATGGCAAGAAAGGAGGTGGCTGTGGATGCAGAAGCAGCTGCCGTGATGGCCTCGAGCGCTTCGAGGCTGAGCGCGGCCTTGTTCATCACGGAGATGTCTTTGGTAGTTTTCTTTTTAAAAAACTGTTTATTTATTTATTTGGTACAGGGTCTCACTACATAGCTCTGACTCATAGTGATCCTCCTGTCTCAGCCTCCTCAGCACTGGGATTGCAGACGTGCGCCACAACGTCCATTTTCAGGACTGGCACAGTGTAGGTTCTGGGCCAGTGTAGCATGCGATACCAGGAATTGAACCCTGGTCCTTGTGCTTGCGAAGCAGGCACTTAGAGTGCAGAGCTATCTCC